CTACACCCCTGTTCATAACAGTTGCAGTGCCACTCAGAGTTTTAAATCACAAAGATCTGAGGGGCACTGCCACTGCGCCCGTCACCCTGAGATATAAGTTGACAAGTCTCATGTGCCTGTAATTTCACCAGCACCCTTACCCTTCAAATCCGGAACACAGTAATGCCGACATTACTGCTTGGCGAAAGAAATTATTAAAGTGGCAGTACTTCCCTGGGCGAACATAGAGCTAAATCAAATATATTTTATATACGATCAAGTCTTGGTTTTAAAATGAAATAATACAATGTCCTTAAAAGTTACACGAAGCCAAATGAAATCATCTATCCGTGTGGGGTCAGCGAGGGCGGTATTTTATGGCTTAAACCTTTTTCTTGATCGATACACATAGTGATAGTTGATTGGTTTATAAAATGATATTTTTTTTAATCGAACTTATTTGGACTTGTTTTAATAAGAAAAATGTGAAAATATACATGAATATGCTATAGGCGAAAAACATGACACGTCGCGACGCTTCGACTCTGCGCCAATGTTAATGTTTTTTTAAGAATACTTGATCATCAAACTTTTTCTTTTAGATTTATCCAATCCAACAGTACTTCAGTATAATACAGATAAATCTAACCATGATCTTGCCTTTGGCCATCGCCAGTCTATCCGAGATGTTTGTCTCGCTGGAACGTATTCAAGGTTTCTTGGAGTTAGGTAAGTTCAGTAATATAAGTAACTAACTTCTGCCAGAGGCTTTGGTCGCTTTTACGGTAAAGAACCACCATAGACGGTAATCGATGTTATTAATTATCGTTTTGCCAAATTTTATTAAATCCTTTCACGTCACTTAAGACCAATGGCACACTTTTGCACTTTCAACCCAACTTTTTTTATTGGGATTGTAACAAAAAAAGGACAATAATTTTTTTTTATACTCTTTTAAGTCGTTCTTATCATAATAGGCATAGGGTCGTATTTAAATCTTAAGTGTGAAGAATGACGTGCTCTCGACGTGTACTTGAGAATTTTACCGATTAGGCTCGAAACGGTTCGATGGATGTTATCGGGCAACTAAGTGCTAGCCAGATTCAAGTATCATATTATTATAATGTAAGTAAGCTATATCATTCCCTTTATGACAAAAATACGTAACATAAAATTTTGGCAGATAAAAATATATAAATAAATTCCAAATTTTATGTTTTACCTTATGATGTAAATAAATATTATTTTAAAAAACATCAACGGCATCATATTACAAATTTACTCTACTTTCAAAAGGGAAAAATGATCAATCAAATTTTACCTAAATTTACTAAAGATACATATAATATTGTTATGTGTATATTTCCATGTTATAGAAGAAAGAGAAGACCTAATGCTATTACCGAAGGCCAATGGTGTGGCTAGTCATTTGACTTTTAATTCAAAGAAGCAAGAGGATCCTTCGCACATAGTACCCAAAAAATTTTCTCAAGATGACGATACGACCAAAGGTCTGGCCGCTGGTATGTAATTCAATGGATTATGATGATTTTTTATTACTGATTAAACTCAGCACATATAGATATTGGAATCGAAGGAATTTATCTTCGTGTTCGATCTTTGTATTAATAATTAAGATATTGGAATTTCTTATTCCCTTCTTCGCCTATATGTAATTTAAAATTGTCATTTAATGCTTATTACAGAATTAATAGCCAGCCCACGGAAGTCAATCAACGAGTATGCCATAGAGATATCAAACCTGAGCGCCTCATGGACCAATTCAACGGATCCTTCGGAAATGACGCTTAAAGATTTGAGTCTGCGTGTACGCAGGGGAAAGCTCTGTGCTATCATTGGCCCAGTTGGATCTGGAAAGGTACAGTATATAACTTATTTCACATATAGTTATGTCCTTTATTTCAGTATGGACAATTTTATACATAAGCTCTACATGACCAAATCGATCTTGTTAGGTAACGTTGAATTCTATTAAATCAAGGAGGCAATAAAATTTTTGGGGTACCATCGACAACGGAAAGCGACGACATCTAAAATGTCTTAGAAAAATATATAAAAATTAGCCATGGCCGTAGTCATAAATTTACTAAATATATCTGCACTCCCTTATCTAACCACAGTGCCGGTTACTGAAAAATAAACAATAATCAGCCCATTATACGTACCAGTGACGAGCTCTGGTTTCCTTTAAGGTAGAGTTACCATTCCGCAACTGGAATATTCCGAACAAACAGACTGACATTTGCTAGAAAGTCCGAACTTTTTAGTAAGAAAATAAAATCTAAGTCTCTCGTACACGCGACAGGCAGCAGAGATGAACAAGCTTCCGGGCAATTATTGTCGTAATCAAGATTTTTTTAATTGTTACTTTTAATTCTGAATATTCTTACCCTAAGCCGAAACATCCGAACAGACAATCAAAAAGCCGGGCAAATCCGGACTAACCCGAACGGATGGCAACCCTACTCTAAGGAGAGAGTTTAGTCTGGTTTAGGCCATAGTCCGACACCCCAACAGGTCCCCCCGTTTTCTAAGGGCCTTCTCCGACGTGCAGTTTTCATCACCTCGTTTCATAAAATAAATATCATTTATTTAACTGAGTAAACTACACCGATTTTTTGCCCAACTCACAAGTTCCGTGAAACCAGTTCCAATATCTGTTTAAAATAATAGCTTAATTGGTAAAGTAATCAACAAAGTTATGTTTAATTTGCAACTTGATTGCGTTCTGTTGAAATTAGTTTTTCGTAGTTTATTTTTAGTCGTAGGATTTATACTTTCTTTTTGATCTAGACGTCACTTCTGCAAGCGATTCTGAAGGAGTTGCCGTTAGCTAAAGGGAGCTTCCAGGTCAATGGGATCATGTCATATGCCTGCCAAGAATCGTGGCTTTTCCCGGCCACTGTCAGAGAAAACATCCTTTTCGGTTTACCATACGATGCACAAAAGTACAAGGAGGTGAGTAGAATTAAACATGAATTTGTACTATTTATTGGTTTTCTATTTAGTCCACGGGAAACAGATTACAGAGTCGTAAGACGATTCGTTCGACGTAATATTAAAGCACGTAATATAAAGGTGTCACCATACTTATAGACATGAACTTGTGTTAAGCTGACCAGAAAAAAAAGGTTGCTCGTTTCGCTACTGCTCGGAATGCCGATACGAAACGCACAATGTTATTTTCGCTCTTATTACACGGACATAAAGCTCCTTCTGCCGGGCTCAAACCGACTTCACGTTAACAAATGTAGGGACTCCCATACCTGAATGATTTTAATTTTAAACACTAGTGTTGTTTATGGTTATTTTTACATTGACAACTTTTGTGCCGTAAATAATGTGGTGGTTGGTATGAGTTGGCAATCATTGTAATCTAAGGATCGTATTCCAGAACTCTACTCAATACTCAAATCAGGACTTGAGTAAGTGCAGTGAGCACTGAAAATCATACTCAAGTCCTTGCCATTAGGGTCGTATTTCCAGTGCTTGAAATCATACCCAAGTCTGCTCAAATCCTGACTTGAGCATTGAGTAGAGTTCTGGAATACGACTTTTAGTAAGCTTAAGTTACTACGTAACTTTAAGTTACTTCGTAAGTGTAGTGGTACTTGGAGTTTACTGGACAAAATACGAGTCCTTACGCTCTCGAAACAGAATCTGTAGGGGCTATATAGATTCATGTAAGTCTAGCCTTCTTGTTGTGGAAATGTAGCAGATACCATATCATCAGTATAGAAGCTGATTACCGGATGTCTCTCTCCAAAATACTGAATATGCCATACATAGTTTGATATAATTGAGCCATCGTATTAAACCTGTAATGTAATAACACATGGAAACTGCTGTTCATCTTACTTTGCTTATGATACGCGAAAAGATAGGAATGATAATGGTGTTTTTTTTTTAATTTTTATTAAACTATTGTGTCCCACTGCTGGACAAACGTATCCCCCAAAATCCTTCACTGTTTTTCTGTTTATGGTGATTTCCCACCACTACTTCTCAAACCCATCAAGATCGTCCAACGCCTTCTCGGCCGTCTGCGCCGTCACCTTCCATCCTTGGGCACCTGAGGAGTGACGACGACGAGTTGACGCCCAATCCCACTTGAGCCTGGCCATGTTGTACCCCACATCAGCAATGCCAGTTATGGAACAGTGCATTGTATTGTGCACGCGGACAATATGTTTAAACTGTTTAAAGTTTGGAATGCTGCGTTCCATCGCCCTCTGGTAGACCTTGAGTTTGAATTTCGGGAACCGGTCAGCGGCCATGTCTGCGCACCGTAAGTTAGGATAGGCAGGATGAGGATATAGGAAGGTCACATGAATAAAATGAACTTAAATTTTGGACTATGTCCAAAATCTCTTGGATAACTTTAAGTTTTAACATTTTCCATAACACGCAGGATGTTACTAAAAGTACTGCTAAAATTGTATAACGTGATTTTCTCAACTTTCCCGAAAAAACTTCTAAAAGTTTCATGAATCTACTTTCCGTACAAATAATCTGGGCGTTTTGTGGCAGTAAAGAAATTTCGCTAATTGGATTCTTTACGGAAAGTTGTTCCCTATCATGAGCATCGTGACGCCATTAAATTGCAAACGTACTATTTTTACACCGCGTATAATTAACATGAACATTTCAGGTCTGCAGAATATGTTGTCTACTCCCCGACTTTAAACAGTTTCCCTACGGAGATTTGTCACTGGTGGGAGAACGGGGAGTATCTCTATCTGGTGGTCAGAAAGCGAGAATCAATTTGGCTAGAGCAGTCTATCGTCCGGTAAGTGGGACTTGATGTTGAAAACCCGTGTCTATAAAGTTCAACATTCATCAAAATTTAAAATGATAAATGATGATAATAAAAATAATAATTTAGTTTTATAACTTAAAAGAGAAAAATATTTTATTTTTCTAAACGACAAATTCAAATACAATTAAAGTCACTATAAACAATATGTCTTATATACATTTAATAAAATGATAAGCTCTATCGAGTTCTTAGGATTTTGCGATTGTTACACATAGAAAATGAATCATTTTTCGGATCTACATCGAAATAAGTTTGGGATGTGACGCAAGTGTGTGTGTGTGTGTGTGTGTGTGTGTGTGTGTGTGTGTGTGTGTG